GCCGGTGACCCAGCAGCGCTCTCGAGGGTGTTGCGGATGACGAGTTGACGCGCGTTTCTTTGAATCGAGCCAGGGTACTGTGAGAGCTCGGGGAAGATCGTCGAGGATGATGGCAGAAACGAGAAGTGAAGGTGGTGACCTTTCAGTGTGGCGAGCGGGCGGGTTGGCGAGTATGTTGTTTGCGCTTACCTGCAAGTGTGGTTGGACACAGCGTGGGTTAGGTTAAACAGTCAGTCTGGTAGACCGAGTCCTCGACATGGGTGCCGGAATCGGTGAGTGAAGCTCCTTTGAACAGTAAACCATGGCAGTAGCGGTAAAAGAGTGATAAGGAGGTGACTGACCGACTGCCAGTGAGCGGAGGGTTTTAGCGTTAAGGGCAAGGCCGTAAGGCCAACACCCCAGAGTGCACTGGCGGTCTCTGCCCCTCAGGCATCCTCATGGGGGCCGAGTAGAAGAGTGTGGGCGTTGAAGACCCGCTGATTTAATTGTTCAAGCTGGTAGGGTGTGGACGTCGCGTGGGTAAGCGAGCGAGTGGGCAGGCGAGCGGGAGGGAGGGCAGGCGGGCGGGCGGTCGGGCATCAGCTGTGCGGGGTTGAGTGAGGCTCTGGTGTCTGGTGGCCCCACCACTCACGGACCCCGCATCGCAGTTATTTTCCCACATGAGCCGGGGGCGGCAGAAATCCGCGGATTCCGACCGGCTCTCTCGTCTGCTGGTTTCATTGCGCGTTGCGATTCGCGACCGCCTGTCATCCCAACGTTGCCATCCGTTATTTTAACAGCTCATCGCCTGCACCCACGGTCCTCGTAAGTCGATGGAAGTCCCATGGTCCTCTGCTGGGCCTTAAGTCTGTCCTACATCTTCACACAGACACATCCACAAGGACGGTGATCGTGAATACGATGGTGGCGGTGGCGTCTTGAAAGTGAGCAGCAGTGGCGTGTTGGTTAGAGCACCGCGCTACGCTCTGCAGGACCCGAGTTCAATTGCCGCTCGTGGTTAACAAAGTGGCACTTCTCCTACCCGGTTCTGAGCCTCCCCCAAGTTGATTCGGCCATAAGTTAGTGCCTGGTTCAGTATGTCAACACCAGAACTGGGGAGACAGGACGTGGTGCTGTCCACATCACCCCCTTGTGTGCATTGCTGGACTTCATGGGTTTTCACTGTCAGCTCTTTCTCAAGCAGTCTGTATGGCTACTTAGGGGTATCTTTATCTTTGGTATCTTGAAAAAAAAAACCTTGAAAAAATGATGATGGCGATAATGAGGAACAGTAATGACGGTGATGATAACTTTGATTTAAAAAAAAAATGTTGATGATAATGCTGAGTACAGTACATCACGATGATGCTAAAGATGACGACGATAGCCAAGTTGACCTTGACCAGGGCTTGAACTCGCGAGCTTGCCACCACGAGGTCCCCAGCACTCCGCTTAAAGTGCACGATCCCGTCCGTCGATTACAATCGGCACTTGGCTTGACAAGACAGCAAAAAGAATCACGGCGATAAAACAACCGCGGAACATCAAACAAAGCAAACTTCGCCACCCAACGAAAACCTCTGTTGCGTTCAAACCTCATGCCCGCCGCGCAGAGAGAAACCCGCAACAAAAATTCTGACGATAGAAGCGGAGGGGGGGGAACGGTACCAGGCGCTTCCGAGGATTTCCGTTCGCTCGCAGCGTGATTAAGGGAAAAGCAGCGAGGGCACGCGTGCGTCCAATGATGAATCCCTGGGCGCTGACGGCTGACAGAGATTAATGCGCACTAATGTGCAATAAGGGGAGGGCTGCTCGCCAGCCCCTCTCACCCCCAGCTCGCTGGCGCTCTCTCGCTCGCTCTCTCACTCTCTCTGTCTCTCGCTCTCTCACTCGCTCTCTCGCTCGCTCTCTCTGTCTCTCGCTCTCTCACTCGCTCTCTCGCTCTCTCTGTCTCTCGCTCTCTCACTCGCTCTCTCGCTCGCTCTCTCGCTCTCTCTGTCTCTCTCTGTCTCTCGCTGTCTCGCTGTCTCTCGCTCGCTCGCTCTCTCTCGCTTTCTTGCTCTCTCGCTGTCTCTGTCTCTCGCTCTCTCGTTCGCTCTATCTCGCTCGCTCTCTCTCGCTCTCTCTCGCTCTCTCGTTCTCTCGCTGTCTCTCGCTCTCTCGTTCTCTCGCTGTCTCTCGCGCTCTCGTTCTCTCGCTGTCTCTCGCTGTCTCTCGCTCTCTCGTTCTCTCGCTGTCTCTCGCTGTCTCTCGCTCTCTCGCTGTCTCTCGCTCTCTCGCTCTCTCGCTTTCTCGCTCTCTGTCTCTCGCTCTCTCGCTCTTTCTCGCTTTCTCGCTCTCTCTGTCTCTTGCTCGCTCGCTCTCTCCCTCACTCTCGCTCGCTCTCTCTCGCTCTCTCTCTCGCTCGCTCTCTCACTCGCTCGGCAGCGGGCGAGACGGCAAATTGAATTGTCTTTGTAGTGCCCACAAAGTGGATGGCGACCTGATGGGGGATGGTGGTGGGGTGGGGGTGGTAGCAGTTGGGGGGGGGGGTAATGGAAGGGACCAGTCCTGGCCGTGTAGTGTGACCTTGATTAAGGGGGGGGAGGCAGGGGGGTGAGGCGGGGGCGTGACACAGTCAATGTTAAACTTTAAACAAATGTTGAACGCTAAACAGAACGAGTAGTGGGATGATCCCATATTGTCTATCGTGCAGCATTCGTCTCTGGCTCTCACTCCCTGTGTGTACGCGGAGGAGAGGCCCCGTCGCTTAATCTTAATTGTGCTCAATTTCAAAGGCCAACGTTTTTTTATTTGATTATAAAACTTTAGCGGGGGGGGGGGTGAGGGGGTGCAGCTCATCCCTGTCCTACCGCCCCCTTCCACCACTGCAGGGCTGGCCAGGCAACCTGGCCGTGCTAGGGCAGGGCCGGTTTGGTACGGTGGAGTTGATGAAGGGGACATAATTGAGTCTACTTTTTTTTTGGAGGACGTCTTCGCAGACAACGAAGTGGTGAATGTCGCCGGAGGAGGAGGAGAGCTGTCGGCCGGATACTTTAATTAACCCGCATCGTTTTAGAAACGTGCGTCTGAGCAAGTTTGCCAAGCCTTGAGCGATAATAAGGGCCGTGGTGTTTTGTGTCCCGTGGCTAAAAGCCACGGGACTGTAAGTTCGCGACGCGGAGAGCGTGCAGTGGGACGGACAAAACGCCGGGAGGGGAGTGCGTTAGCGAAAGGGGAACGACGTGGTAAATAAGTAAAGAGACTCTGCACTAATTGGATGTGGCTTTCATTAGGGCTGATTAGTTTTCCATGTTGGGAGAGGCACCTCGAGACAAAACCGCGCCCCCCCTCCCCCCACCTCGTTTCAGGGGTGGCGGGTGCTGGTGGTGCAGGCGCCGGTTGTGTTGGATGTAGCGGTGGCGATGGTGATAGTGGTTGTGCTGGTGGTTGGATGGGTGGGAGTGAGTGAGTGAGTGCTTTTGTGCGATCATCAAATTAGCCAATCGCACCTCCAAGTCCATTTGTCGGTCGGGTTGATTGCCGAACGCGTGTCCGTGTGTGTGAATGTTTATGGGCTGTGTGTGAGTGTGTATGCACTGGGGCTGTGTGTGTTTGTCATTTGTGTATGGGCTGTGAAGTGTGTGTGTATGTACTCAGTGTGTGCGTGTGTGTGTATGTTAGGGCAAACGCACTGCGCTTTTGAACTGAGCCAAACCCAGTTGAATTCTCGCTCACATCCAGCATAAGTAGTGCTCATCTGAACCAGTGGAGAGCGAGCGAAGCAGAATAATGCGATGACGGTGGAGAGAGGTAGGCGTGGGCGAGCCCGTGGTGGCTCTTGATGAGCATTGAGTTTGTAGCTGATGCGCCAACGGGGTTTGGGAGCCGTTGGGAGGACATCGTAGGACCCAGGGCCTTTGTACGCGCCGGCACGCATGACCCGACTTGTTTGAAGCTTCTGCGTACAGGACAACTCAACAGCGCTGCAGTGTGCCGCTGAGAGCGTCGTTATGGCACACCGGTGGCGTCGCTTCGTTGACTTGCGGTGCCGTCGCAGTGACGTCACCGGAGTGCCTTAACGACGCGGCGCTCGGCTGTGACAAAAAAGTATATGTCGTTATCGCAGTTACAGACCTTGGCTGCTGTTATGGAGCGATGCCGCAATACATTGTATGATACTGTACGTACGTACGTGTGTACGGGAACCGAGGGTCTCCGTGCGCGCGCGCGTCTGTGCGCGTGCGCGAGGTCACCCCTTCCTCTTTTAAGCTCCGCGAAAGTGTCACCCGGGGCAAAGAATAATTAAATTTCCTTCGCCTTAATTTCGTACTCTTCATTTGTCACCGTGCACCGCGCAAAACCCCTTCGATCGGGGATAGTGGCACTTAGCAGATGAACGTCCTCCTCGGGCCCCGGCAGGCCGGGGACACGTTGAGTGCCGTGGCGGGCGAGAGGAGAGACGTCTTTTATTTCTGTCTTGACATCAACGCGATCGCCTTAACGACACGGCCCCGTCCGTCCGTACGCCGGACGAAGGCCGCCGCCCGTCTCCCGCGGCGTAACGATCCGTCCGGCGGCGAGCGAGCTTCCGCCGCTCCGTCTCCGCGGCAGACGTGCCCCCGTCGCACACCTTTCCCCTCGCTTGGCCGGTGCCGCGTTGCCGCTCTCAGGCTCGTCGTCCCCGCGGGCCGTGGCGCACTCTGCCCGAGCCCCCGCTTACTTTCCTGAACAGTGCGATGCTTTGGCCCTGCGTTCGTTCTCTCCCAGTGTGATTCTCCGCACTTCTTACGCACGCTTTTTCGTTCGACCCTACCGCACTTTCCATTGTTGTTTCTGATCCGTCGGTGGGTATTTCGCATTCAGAAAAATAAAAAAAAACCACGAGCGTGAAATACTTCCCCGCGAGACAAACGCGCGTCGGAAAGCACCACGGAATCCATTCGTGCGCGTGATTTTTCTCCATTTTGTTCACGGGGGGTGGTGTGGGGGGAGAAGTGGGGGGAGTGACCGCACACGTTTATTCTGCCGTCACCCCTCAGGTCGCTGTGCCTGGCGGCGAACGCCTACTGCCTGGCGTGCCGCGACTGCGCCGACAACTGCCACCACGTCCTCTACAGCAACAAGATCGTCGCGCTCATTGATCTGCTCTTGCATCACCTCGCCGTGAGTGCCGCACCGCCCTCCCCTCATTCCCTCCCCCCTCCCTCCCATCCCTGTCTCCCTCTCCACCCCTCCGTCCTCCTTGCCATCGTCATCGCCGCCGTCACACGACGATGCACGCGCAATGAGCGAATAAAAACGTGAAACAGCTCCGGGGGGGACCTTACGACCAGAGGGTAGGGTGACCTCGTTTCAACGGAGGAGGCGGGGGCCTGGGGGCCTGGGGAGGCCTTTCACCAGCAGTGGATTGACCATGGTTGCTGGCGATGATGATGATGATGGAGACGCAGTGGGTTGCCTTGCTGCCGATTCTCCCACGTTGGTCACCCGCGACTCCGTTAACCGCGCAAGGACGAGGTCGCGGATTGCAATGGGAGCGCAGGGAAAACGGGAGATGGAGGCCCGGCACGGCACCGTGTGAAGGCGATTGATCTGGGGGCACGCGCCGGGAGGAGAGGAGGAGGAGGAACAACAAGAACCGTTAAACCAGCACTCCGATATCGATCGGTTGGCTGAACGTGGCGCATCGCGCCGGGGCGGGAAAACAACGCTCGCTGCTTCGCCCGTTTGACCCCGAGCGGAGCCGGGCGCGATTCCTTTTTGCACCTCCCTTCGCGTGCGCGTGGCGTCTGTCCCGGCAAATTCGTCGCAAAGTCCTCGACATCTCCCCGGGGGAAAGCCATCGCCCCCTCGAGGTCGGCCGCTCGGATTTGACGTCTCCATGCAGCGTGCTTCCCTCCTGCGCCCCTTCTCCAGTCACATTCACCATCCTTACACGGAGAGCTACCCACTTACATGCAGACCCATGGACTTGCATACTCTCGCGTGCTCCGCGTACTTCCACAGAGACCCGTATAGGTTCACGTCGAGAGCCGTACAACTTTCGTAGAGGCCCCATGCACTTTAAATAGGGACACATAGAAACCTACACATTGGCAAATGTAATGTGAGACCCACAGACTTACACCTTCTGGTCCAGAAGTTCAATTGCTCTGTGGGGTTGGCTGCTCCGTGTGCCCTGCATCTTTATCCCCATAGCCACTGTCCCCGTAATCTCGCTCCACCGCTTACGAGAGAAGCGGTGGACACAAGCTCGGAATGACACCGAGAGACAGAAAGAGGAGCACGTTGTATCCAGGGGACAAACACAATGAGGGAATTGGCAATTATTGACTTGAGAATCAAGTGGAACTAGGCAGGGACGCATCATGAGAAGGGCGTCATGGCCGATGGACGAGGACTGGTGGCCGAATCTCAGTCAAAGGAGAGAACTCGCGCCCAGGCACCATCAAGACGGATCAATGAGATCAGATCTTTGCGCGAGAGTTACAGGGATTGTGGTCTCACTGGACCGTGAGATACGGTGACATTGAAGGGAAGGAGGCCTTCATCCAGCAGTGGATGAACAATAGCCAGTGCTTCTAGATTCGAAGCTTTCGTGACCGCAAGGATTCATACTCTTTGTTTTTTTTTCCGGTAAAGTCACGTAGGTAAAATAAAATTTTAAATAAAAGAAAAGAACTAAATTAAATCACGACGTTTCGGAGGCAACACAAGCTTCCCTCCACCTGAAGACGGAAGCTGGTGTTGCCTCCGAAACGTCGTGATTTAATTTAGTTGTTCTCTTTTATTTAAAATTTTATTTTACCTACGTGACTTTACCGAAAAAACCAAAGAGTACAATAGCCAGTGCTGATGATGATGAGGATGGAAAAAGGCAGTATGGTTAGATGTAGTTTTTGTAGCAGCCTCCTGTGTAAAGCGACTCGGTTGTAATTCTGACCGAGGTGTATCGGGGAGAGGAGGAGGAGGAGGAGGGCAGCACGCTGTCGTGTTAATAAGTCAACTCGTTGGGAGAAGTTAATCCCGTTTCGTGTAATCTCTTAACGGATCACTGCTTCCGAGGCGTGGGTGTACGTTAATGAATTATTAAGCTTATTACCGCTTTCTGGGCTAATTCAGCGAGTTTTGGGAGCGGAAACACGTTTCGGATTAAAGCGTCAACCAACGCCGCCTCGCCTAAGAGATCTCCCAAATCGCAGCGATGGAACCTCTCGGTCCCATCGCTGCGACCCCCCACCCCTCCCCGCTCCGCCCCGGGGTCTGTGAAGTGAACGACGACAGTGACGATACCAATAGTTGGCTCCAGGAGAATTTTTTTAATTTTTATTTTACCAGGTAAGGTCCCACTGAGATACATCGCTCTTTTTCAGAAGCGACATGGCCACAAAACGATTGTCCAATGAAGTGGCTTCTCACGTGGAAATTTATAGCAGCCAAATACTCTAAAACGCGCGAGTTTCTAAATGTGGAGGGTAAAAACCGGAGGACCCGGAGAAAAATCCACGTGACCATGGAGAGAACGCGCAAACTCCAGATATGCACGCGTCGAGGTCGGGATTCAACCGACGACCTCCTTTATTCCAACCGACGACCTCCTTTATTCCAAACGAGGTAGTTAACAAGACGTCTCTGCGATCGGCACACACGTCGCCCGCGACGACGAGCGGAGCTGGAATGTGGACTTGGACAAGGAACATGCAGCAAGGGCTGAATTGTGGTGCGGGCACACGCTGGGAATGACTTTCCAGAGGGCAGCAAGGGGAACGCACGGCGCCACGGTGGCCTGGGAGATGTTAACTACCTCGCCTGGTATACAGGAGGTCGTGGGTTTGATCCCGACCCTGGCGCCTGCTGCTGTATATTTGGAGTTTGCGTGTCTCTCTATCTCATCATCACGGTGGCTAGGAGATGTTAACTACCTCGCCTGGTATACAGGAGGTCGTGGGTTTGATCCCGACCCTGGCACCTGCTGCTGTATATTTGGAGTTTGCGTGTCTCTCTATCTCATCATCACGGTGGCTAGGAGATGTTAACTACCTCGCCTGGTATACAGGAGGTCGTGGGTTTGATCCCGACCCTGGCGCCTGCTGCTGTATATTTGGAGTTTGCGGTGTCTCTCTCTCTCATCATCATCACGGTGGCTAGGAGATGTTAACTACCTCGCCTGGTATACAGGAGGTCGTGGGTGTGATCCCGACCCTGGCGCCTGCTGTATATTTGGAGTTTGCGTGTCTCTCTCCCCGTGGTCGCATGGATTTTTCTCCGAGCCCTCCGGTTTTTCCCTCCACATTTAGAATCGTGCGTTTAGAGTCTTTGGCCGCTAAAAATTTCCACTTGGTAAGCCAATTTTGTTGAGCTATAATTTGTGATGGCCAGGTCGCTTCTGAAAAAGAGCTACGTACAGTGAGGGAAAAAAGTAGTTGATCCCCTGCTGATTTTGTACGTTTGCCCACTGACAAAGAAATGATCAGTCTATAATTTTAATGGTAGGTTTATTTGAACAGTGAGAGACAGAATAACAACAACAAAATCCAGAAAAACGCACGTCAAAAATGTTATAAATTGATTTGCATTTTAATGAGGGAAATAAGTATTTGACCCCTCTGCAAAACATGACTTAGTACTTGGTGGCAAAACCCTTGTTGGCAATCACAGAGGTCAGACGTTTCTTGTAGTTGGCCACCAGGTTTGCACACATCCCAGGAGGGATTTTGTCCCACTCCTCTTTACAGATCTTCTCCAAGTCATTAAGGTTTCAAGGCTGACGTTTGGCAACTCCAACCTTCAGCTCCCTCCACAGATTTTCTATGGGATTAAGGTCCGGAGACTGGCTAAGCCACTCCAGGACCTTAATGTGCTTCTTCTTGAGCCACTCCTTTGTTGCCTTGGCCGTGTGTTTTGGGTCATTGTCATGCTGGAATACCCATCCACGACCCATTTTCAATGCCCTGGCTGGGGGAAGGAGGTTCTCACCCAAGATTTGATGGTACATGGCCCTGTCCATCGTCCCTTTGATGCGGTGAAGTTGTCCTGTCCCCTTAGCAGAAAAACACCCCCAAAGCATAATGTTACCACCTCCATGTTTGATGGTGGGGATGGTGTTCTTGGGGTCATAGGCAGCATTCCTCCTCCTCCAAACACGGCGAGTTGAGTTGATGCCAAAGAGCTCCATTTTGGTCTCATCTGACCACAACACTTTCACCCAGTTGTCCTCTGAATCATTCAGATGTTCATTGGCAAACTTCAGACGGGCATGTATATGTGCTTTCTTGAGCAGGGGGACCTTGCGGGCGCTGCAGGATTTCAATCCTTCACGGCGTAGTGTGTTACCATTTGTTTTCTTGGTGACTATGGTCCCAGCTGCCTTGAGATCATTGACAAGATCCTCCCGTGTAGTTCTGGGCTGATTCCTCACCGTTCTCATGATCATTGCAACTCCACGAGGTGAGATCTTGCATGGAGCCCCAGGCCGAGGGAGATTGACAGTTATTTTGTGTTACTTCCATTTGCGAAAAATCGCACCTACTGTTGTCACCTTCTCACCAAGCTGCTTGGCAATGGTCTTGTAGCCCATTCCAGCCTTGTGTAGGTCTACAATCTTTTCTCTGACATCCTTGGAGAGCTCTTTGGTCTTGGCCATGGTGGAGAGTTTGGAATCTGATTGATTGATTGCTTCTGTGGACAGGTGTTTTTTTATACAGGTAACAAGCTGAGATTAGGAGCCCTCCCTTTAAGAGTGTGCTCCTAATCTCAGCTCGTTACCTGTATATAAGACACCTGGGAGCCAGATATCTTTCTGATTGAGAAGGGGTCAAATACTTATATCCCTCATTAAAATGCAAATCAATTTATAACATTTTTGACATGCGTTTTTCTGGATTTTGTTGTTGTTATTCTGTCTCTCACTGTTCAAATAAACCTACCATTAAAATTATAGACTGATCATTGCTTTGTCAGTGGGCAAACGTACAAAATCAACAGGGGATCAAATACTTTTTTCCCTCACTGTAGCTCAGTGGGCCTCACCTGGTAAAATAAGAATAGTAAACTTGTTTAGTAGATCGGTGAACGTACGCAAAACGCAGTCTTGGGAGTTCAACGCTTGGGCAAGGACACGCCAAGAAGAAAAATCACCAGGCTCTCGGCACGCGGAGCGAAACGACGGACGTCGTGCCGAACGGCACGCGGCGCGGCATCAAATCTCGCCGGAGAGCAGCAGCAGCACCGTACGATCGCGATCGTGGGGAGCGGTCTCCAGGGGTGTCGCGACCGAGGGGAGGGCCTGAGTGCCAGATGACAAAATAAGTCGACACGTCCGTCATCAACACCGCCTTTTGCGGAGGTATTGACAATGTGCCGAGTTGTTTTTTTTGGTCAGTTGTGCATGTGCACCGCTACCAGTGCTGCACTCTCACAAAATTGCGTGTTTTGATAAGTCCAGATGGTGGTGGCACGCCGCCAGGACTGCTGTGGGCTCTGGCGGAGGGCAGAGAGCGTCGACGAATTGTGGCGGCATCCAGCGGCTCTCGCCGCATAATCGGCCCCGGCTCTGTCCCGCAGGTGCTAATCCCGGTCGGAGAAGACGGCGGGGGCGACGGCGCCAGCGGCAGCGTCAACCGCCAGGTGTTTGAAGGCCCCTCCGGCTCTCTTCTCCGCGCGTGCGGCGCGATCATCGACGGCGTCGCTCGCAGCATCGCCTCGGCGGCGGCCGGAGGGTCGGACGGCAGTCGGCCCGCGACGCCGCGCAAGACCCCGGCAGGCGGCGGCGGCGGCGGAGGAGGAGGAGGAGGAGGAGGGAAGGAGGCGAGGTTGTCGTCGTCATGCTCGTCGCTGTCCTCCTGCTCGGGAGCATCGACGGGGCACAGGGAGGGCATGTGCGGCCGCGCGTCGGACCTCGTGAGGTGAGGGCGGAGCGTGACGAGCGGGGTCGGGTTCGGGGTCAGGGTTATGGTCAGGGTTAGGAGGTCCGTTAGGCTTTGAGTCAGTGGTCGGAGTTAGATTCAGAGGTTTTGATAAGAGTTTTCCTTGGGTCAGGACGTCGGGTGAGGGTTAGGGATTAAGATTTACTTTTAGGCTTTGGGTTAGTGCAGTCTGGGTGTCGCATTTCAGTCAATCATCACGGCCGGGCATAGTGATTTAATGAAAAATGTTAGTTTTAGATATGGAGATAAAAAAATATGTACAATGTGGCCAATGTAGCCCCTTTTAGCGGCCGCTGCTGTTGTGGTCGCTTGAACCAATGGCACGTGGCGTGGATGAATCGGCACTCGCTGAATGCAGCGCATCGTGAGCGCGCTCGCTCCCTTCATCGTTGCACAGAATCAAGGCAACCGCGACCCACGCGAGAGCCATGTGTTGCCTCCGCACTGGGTCATGATATGCGCCTTACACAGTGCAGTAAGCGAGCCTCAGCGTGCGTGCCTGTGCACGGCGGGTAGCCGTTAAGCGCACTGCGCTACGAAGCCGGCGAACGGAGTTCGATTCCCCGCTCACGGCCAACATCGGTGGCGGTTATCCGAATCGGTCCCAGTGCAACGTCTAGACATCGCCACTGGGGAGACAAAGGCGGCCGAGGCGTTGTGCTGGCCACCCCACCCCCTCGTGCGCCGTGCCGGCCTTCACAGGCGCTACTCGCTGACACCACTTGCCCCAACGGTCTCTCAAGGCTACACGGTGGGCGGGGATCTTTGTCTTTGCCTGTACGTGCAGCTACATGGTCCACGCTGGCGTGGCCGAGAAGCTCTGCCGCTGCCTGCGCTCGGTGCAGGGCTCCGTGGACGACCAGCCGCGCACATCGGCCTTCCTGGCCCACGCCGTGCACCTCCTGCGCGCCTCCTGCACGCTCGCACGCCTCGTCGCGCCCAGGTCGCTGCCCGGGGTCGTCCAACGGGGGGCGGTGGCGATGCTGGGGTCGGGGTGGGTCACGTGACGGGGTGGTGAGGTCAGGGTCGGGGTTACGGTCACGTCAACGGGAGTGGTTTGGACGGTGGGGTTAGGTCTGGGGTCGGGGTGGTGTAACGGGGTTGTAGGGTCATGGCTAGCATAAGGGTGCGGGTAAGTCGGGGAGCGGAATGGCGGGGTGGGTCTAAGACGCCGGGTGGGGCCGTTTGAATGACGTGTTGGATGTGGTTGACAGAGGCGATGGCGAGCGTGCGACGCCGGTGCCAAGGCAGCGCACACACATGCACGCACACACATGCACGCACACACATGCACGCACACACATGCACGCACACACATGCACGCACACACATGCACGCACACACGCGAACAAAGACAAAGATCCCCCGGATAGCCTTAACAGACTGTTGGGACAAGTGCTGTTGGCGAGCACCTATTAAGGCCGGCACATCACACGAGGGGGCCGCCTTTGTCTCCCTCGCAGCAATGTCTTTACACACCGCAACAGGTACTCATTTGAGGCTGAGTCGACCTAGGGGAAGCCCGGGACCGGTTCAGATAATGGTCATCGGTGTTGGCCGTCAGCGGACACACACACACACGCACACGAGGGTGTGGCCAGGACCACGCAGGGGCCGACGTGCACACCCCGCACCACGTACTCAATGGATGCCGAGTCAACCTAGGGGAGGCCCAGGACCGGTCCGACGAGACGCCCACCGGTATTGGTGGCGACGGGGAATGGGAGCTCGGGACGCCGGGCTCGTCGCGCTGACCTCCGCGCCGTCCGTCCCCGCCGCTCAGGTCTGGCGGTCAGAGCCCGTTTGACACACGGAGGCCGGACGGCACGGGCCTGGCATCGGTGCTGCGCCTCACGGAGGCGGCCGGGGTGCTCAACCTCCTCTACTGCACGCTGCTGCACGGCGCGGCGCCCGACCAAGGACGCGGCGGCGCCGGCGGGGACGGGGGCGGCCGCCCCGGCCCCTCCGGCGGCGCCGGCGGCCGCGACGGCCGCGACGGCCGCGTCGTCGGGCCGCGCGTCGGCGCAGGATGGCTACCCCGCGCACACGCTGGGCGTCGCGCTGGAGGGGGTGCGACTGCTCAACAGCTTCGCCCTCCTCGACCTCGCCGCCTTCCAGGTGCCGCGGCAACGATGCGCGGCGGCCGTTCTGAGACGCGCGCTTTCCCGGTCGCGTGCGGTTGCTTTATCGTGCGTGGGCGGTCGCGGTGCGGTTGGCTCATTGCGGGCGGGCGGGCGGGCGGTCTCGTGCGGTTGCCAGGAGGTGGTGGGCTCCGAGGGCCTGTCTCTGGCGTTCCGCCACATCGCCAGCTCGCTGCTGTGGTACTGCTCGCACCACGCCTGCACCGAGCTGCTGCACGCCGTCATCGTGTGCGTCGGGTACTTCACCGTCAACAACGCCGACAACCAGGTGGGGACTCGCTGACACACGCGCACACGCACGCGCACACACGCGCACGTACGCGCCTGGCTCGCCGAGCGGTCTCCATCGTCGGGCGGCAATCGATGGGTCGAAACGCGCCGCGTTCGCGCGGAGAGAGGCTCGGGTGGCCGGGGCATCGAGGCGCGAGCGCCGGTCCCGTGCCCGGCTTTTCACGGCGCGTGGCGACGCCGCAATCTGAAAATTGATTTGACTCGCCTCCGCCGACGGGTGCTGCTTTGTTTGAATAATTCATCGCTCACAGCCCCTTGGTCAATCGTTGGCTGGGTGCAGGCGCCCCCCGCAACCGTGTCGGTCGGGGGTGGGGGCTTGCGCCGTACTTCACCACGTTGAGGAGAGTGCGGGGTTGGTGTAGGGCGGGGTAGGAGAGGGGCACAAATATCACAACCCCATAAAAATTACACATTATTATTGTTTTGGGTTGCATACGGTAAAGGTGCAGCCCTGCAATGTCCTGCTCACGCCACTGCTGGCAGATGGGGCCTACGCTGGAGAGGCACTCTTTGAGGGTGTTTGCTCTACTCTTCTACGCTGACCAGGCATCTTGGAAGAGGTGGGAATACCCACACTTTACCCCATCATGCATGACCTACCAATCGACTAACTGCGGTGGACCCATTAATTCGGCTGGGGGGGGGGGTGGGGCGGGATTCAAGAAACTTGCCCCATCGTTTCAACCGCCGCGCCGGGAGTTGGAATCGAACCGGCGACCTCTGGGTGCTGTGCTGACCACGACACCACCCCTACACCAGAGACAAAGACAAAGATCCCCCGTGTAGCCTGTAACAAACTGTTAGGGGCAAGTGCTCTTAGTGAGCACCTATGAAGGCCGGAACGGCACACGAGGGGGTGGGTGGCCTGCACCACGCCCGGCCGCCTTTGTCTCCCCAGTGGCGATGTTTACACACCGCACCAGGTACTCATGTGAGGCTGAGTCGACCTAGGGGAGGCCCAGAACCGGTTCAGATAATCGTCACTGTGTGTTGGCCACTGCGCCACCCGTGTGTTCACTGCCATGCCATCCGACTCGAGCCAGTTTGAGTTATTTATTCTCTTATTAGGGTGGGGGTGGCGGTGTCGAGGTGATATATAAATGGCCGTTAAAATAATAAAGTTACTTTGTGCCTTACGTATAAATTTGCAAGAGGCACACTGTAAAGGAAAAGCCAGACCGCACACCCATTATAAACTTATCACTCTGGTTGGTGTAAGCAATAAAATTAAGTACATTACCTAATTCCTCTTTGAAGTTCCCTTAGTCCTTCACCTCCCGCTCTCCGGCCTTGTTCGGCCAGTTAGCCACGTTACAAAATTACTCAACATCATAATCACCATCGTAATAATTTGCAGCTCTTTGGCAATCCACGGCCGGACGAAGGCCCTCCTATGCCGTTTTTAGGCTCGTTTGACCATGCTTCACCACGCTGGTCAGCGCTGGTTGATGAAGTCTGGGAGGCTCAGAACCCAGTTCGTACATCGCTCGCCACTAATGTTAGCCGTGGCCGGGAATCGAACTTACCAATTTGGTAACGCAGTCGCGCGGACCTCTGGGCCACCGCTGTCCCCACCGTCAGAAAATCAACATCAGCCGCAATAAATCCACTGCTGGATGAATGCGTTCCCAAGTCACCGCCACCTCTCATGACCCCGCGATGTAACAATCCGCCTGACACCAGCACACCGGCTGATCTCACCGTCCTGAGGGACTCCTTCAGCATTGTTGACCGTCGGCCATCGCCCCTAGTGACGGACGTAATTTAATTTGCACGTGGCCAGGCGACCGGTGGGGGGGGGGGAGGGCGTCGGGGCGCATGTTGGCCTCCGTCCTTCGAGCGGCGTCCACGAAGGCCGCGCTCGGCATGCCAAGGCGGTGCCCAGTTGTCCTAAACTATAAACTATAAAAAACTATTTTTATTTTACCAGGTAATGCCCCACTGTACTATATAGCTCTTTATTCCGAAGCGACCTGGCCACAAATGATTGCTCAACACAGGGGCTTGTCACATGTATATTTATCGCAGCCAAATATTCTAAACGCGTGTTTCTAAATGTAGAGGGAAAAACCGGCGAGAGACACACAAACTCCAAATATACGGCAGCAGGCGTCAGGGTCGGGGTCAAACCCAGGACTCCCTGTATACCAAGCGAGGGAGATAACATCTCGCCACCGTGGCGCCACAATGCAGGCGGTGGCGGCGCGGCCTGGTGTACCTGCGGTGGCCAGGCCGACCCGGCTCAAATTAATCTCGCAGTGCCGCCACCGCGCTGGCTGGCTGGCGGCGCAGTAATATTTACATCGACTTGTAAAGCCAGGCAGCCGTGTGTGCGAACCGCACTCCCTGATGGACATCAAAGCCCGCGCCGCGACCATTCCCACAGATTTCACTTCACCGGTGTTTTTTCTCGTTTTGCTTCTGAGAAATTGCGTTTTATTTTGGTCTCCGCTCGCCTCATTCCGCCCCTTTAAATGGTTTGTTTTGTTTGTCCCGGCGTACAAAGGAACATGGTGGCGGGTGGCATTAATAATTGACCCCACAGCCACTGCTTTGTGAGGATTTGGTCAGCGGCAGTGAGCAGTGTGGAGCCAGGGTGCGGCTCCTCGGGCATTGTGTGAAACGAAGCATGAGAAGGCGGTGGTGAGATCGTGGGTTCAAATCCCACCATCGTCATCTATTCAGCATTATCATTCGGTCATCAGCATCATCATCGTCATCATCGAGCCATCATCATCATCATCACACGACCATCACCACCATCATTATTATCCAGCTCTGTCGGTAAATCGACCCAGCTTGAGAGACTTGGTCCCTGCCATAGAACTGTGGAATTTCCACCAGTGGCTCTGAACCCAACGCATAGACGGACAAACAAAACGGCAGAAGCCAGAGAGCGGAGCAGTGCTCATTTGAGCGGCTACGAGGTGCAGCGTAACGCTCGTGTTGACATTTGAGTTCCCCTCGCGCGTACTTCGCACACGCACACGCAGACAAAGATCGCGCGTGAAACCTTAACAGACTGTTGGGGCAAGTGCTGTTAGCGAGTGGCGCCTATTGAGGCCGGCACGGCGCACGTGTGGGGGTGGTGTTGTCAGCACCACCCACGCCCGGCCACCTTTGTCTCCCCAGTGCTGATGTTTGTACAGCGCACCGGGTGCTCGTTTAAGGCTGAGTCAGCGTGGCGAGGCTCAGCAGGCCAGGCTCAGATTAAACTTGCCACCGATGTTTAGCCATGCCCGGGAATCGAAGCAGATGACTATATTGTGAGCGCTGGGTGCACACCACTGTCCTACTACTGTTCCACCCCGTGCACGGGCACAAAGATCGTCCGTGGAGCCTTTCGCAGGCTGTTAACGCGCGCGATTGAGGAGTGTTGGTTTTAGTGCCTTGCGCTACAAAACCCAGCGACCAGTGGCATTTATCAGAACTGCTCCCTGCCCCCCCCTCCCTCCCCGGTCGACTCAGCCTCAAATGAGTACCTTGGCACAGTGTGTAAATATCAGCATAGGGGAGGCAGAGGCTCCCAGGCACGTGGCACCACCCCCCCCCCCCCCGCCTTGTACACCATGCCGGTCTTCGTAGGCACACTTCGCCGTGAACAACGTGCGTATGCACGCACGCGAGGGTACGCGTGTGCGCTCACGGTGCACTCGGCCTCGCGAGCTGACAGCCTCCTCCCCCCTCCCTGCGCCCAACCCGCGGGTGCGAGAGGCAGCCAAGGGGACATCTGTCCTCGCGGCCGTCATCGAATTACTTTGATTCGGGACAGACGACGTCTTTTACTTTCGCCTGCGTCGTTAGTCCTCGTTAGGCCCAAAAACACCCGGTGAGACCTCGCCACCCCCTGCCTCTCCTCTCCACCTCCCCCCCCCCCACCCACTCGTAAGACAATTAGGATCCGTAATTAAATTTTTGTGACACTAATCAAAAGAACATGTTTTGTAAAAAAAAAATCTAGGGGTGCTTTTTGTTTCATTATGTCTCCCCCCCCCCCCTCCGAACCCCGTGCCCGCCCCCCAACCCCCCCCCACTCGTTGTTAAGTGTCGCTCGACTCGGTTCGCATTCCTCTTTGCGTGTCGCCCGTTCAGCGCTACTCCGCGCCTCCTCGCTCCGCTCTGCCAATTAGTGCCGAGATCTCACGTCCCCCGGTCCCCACCGCTCGCTCGCTCGCTCAGGACGGCCGCGGCGCTCGCAGGGCCACCCCGCTGACCCCCCCCCCCCCGCAACCTGCCTACGCACTCACTAACTCCCATGACTCATCATCACAATTATCATCAGCCGTGATCAGTCCACTGGTGCATGAGGGCCTCCCTAAGCCGCCGCCACCTCTCACGATCTTGCGATGCGGCGGTCCGTCCAAGCGCCTGCGTGTGAACCGGTTGCATCCCACGCAACGATGACCTTTCAACTATGAGACTCAACACATTGGTGAAATAACGCTGCGGTCTTAAGGTGAGAGTATATACCAGGCAACGTTTTGGGCAAGGTCCCTTCTTCACAGCACATAGGGTCTTTCCGTCCCGCTGACCACGATGTGCGATTACCCGAAGCAACACCTATTTAATAATGAGCCTTAAACTGGGGGGTTGTCACTTGTGTGAGGTCCCAAAGAACCCGGGAAATATCACGCGTGAGAATATCTCAACAACACCAGAGGAGCGGAGAACAGAGCCGCTTGCAGCTGCGTCACCCTGAGTGCTACGTTGTTGTCATTGCTGCGCAAAAATTACAAAAACTGGGACTTCTAATGTCACAGGGAAGACATTCCCAGGTCAGCGGCCACCTTTTCCTGGAAAATCCCAGGACAGGTGGCAACCCCCCCTGCATTAAACGCGAGCGGCGAGTGGCCGCTGGCTGCCAAGATGAACGCTCGCCACATTTCCATATTTTATCGTCAAATTCAATTAAGCGGCTCCCCACCGCAGGGAAATGGATGTGCGGTGGGCCGGGTGGTGGCGGTGGCGGCCGCGGCG